CGGGCCGGGGGCCACGGGTCACCTTGGGGACCCCGTGAGTTTGGGCCGGCCAGGTCCTGGGGCCAGACGGCTGCTGGTGGGTGGGTGCTGGTGCCCGGGGTCATGAGTAGGGGCAGGGCGACCTGGGTGACAGCTAGAGATCCAGAATGGAGAGACGCGAACGTTCATATAGGCAGGGATATATATACACGTGGACTCACACGCCCAGGCACCCACTTACACAACTCGCACATAAATGTACACACCTACGCGCTAAGGGAACACATGCATATACCCGAAGAGAGAAAGAGCACCAAGCGCCAGATGAGTCTGCTTGTTAAAAGGGTTGCCTCATGTTAATTCAGAAGGCTTCCTTGGGGGGTGTATCCATCTGATGGAGTGTACCTACACTCAGGACAAAAAGCTGCAAGCCCCCTGAGCTCTGTCTGGGTGGTTGTGATCTGAACCACAGACAGGAACAGCTATAATCCCAGCCAGCCGTAGCCACTTGATAGCTTGATTGTTGAATTGACTGACAGACCTGAGGTATCAGCTTCCATCCATCAAACATTCACTCATCTCTCTGGGCTTAAGGAATCCAGGGACTCAAATCCCAGGAAAACATTGAACTTCGATGCTGAGAAGTTTCTATATCCTATCAAAACCCTAGTTATTCTGGCAGTTCTCTTGTTAAGGACAACATGGCTGGGCAGTTGTTTGTTCATTTAGCAACCTTTGCTGAGCAGCCTCACTGTCGTAGGCACTGGGGATTCATCACTGAGTAAAGTCACAAACTTAGAATCATTGCTGTAGTGGGAGAAACACATAGAATATTATAAATACACCATAATTACAGAGGAAGTATCAGCTGGAAGACAGTACATTTTGAATGGGTATAGGAAGGGAAAAGGCAGCATCTTTCTGAGAGATGACAGTAAACTTTAGGAAAACCCAAAAAGATGAAAACACTGAAAAGCAATACAGCTTGAACTTGGGGAAGATGAGACAAAATTGGAGCAGGGGCCTTCTATGCCACAGTGAGCAGCAGCATACGCTTTAGTCAGTGACAGGGACACCAAGACTCTGACAGTGAGTGGGTGGCAAGAGAACCTGAAGGAGGACAGTGGAGAGAGAGAGAGAGCTTAGCAGTTAAGAGTACTAGTTCTTCCAGAAGGCCCACTCAAAACTGCTTGTCCCTCCAGTTCCGGGGACTCCGTAGGCACCAGGCACACACATGGTGCATGGACATATATGCAGCCAAAGCACACATATACATAAAATAAAATGCAAATTAAAGAATGAAGGCAGAGAGGAACCTGAGGCAGGAGGATTGCTTGAGCCCAAATGTTGAAAACCAGTCTGGGCCACATGGCAGTACCCCTTCTGAAAAAGGAGACATGGAAGCAAGACTAGTTAAACTCCAACAGTCAGGACAAGAGATGACAATGACTGGGCTGGGAGATGTCACTGAGACCAGAGTTAACTTGTAAGTTCTGATTAGAAACTTGAGGGCTTCCCTATCCACTCTGAAACTCTTAGGTCTTCAGAACAGGGGTGGATGTTAACCCAAGAGCTGGATCTTTGTGGCTCCCCTGCTGTGGCTGGGGCAGCAGCAAATATAAACCTCTTGTATCCAGTCTGTCCTGCCTAGTGCAGAAACCAGCTCTCAAGCTGGGTCTGGTGATGTATGCCTGTAGTTGTAATGTTTGGGAGGCAGTCAGGAGGAAGGATTCAAGGCCTAGCAAGGAAACAAAACTAGTTCAAAGCCAGCCTGGGCTGTGAGAGGCCATTTTAAAAAAGATTTCCCAGCACTAGTTGGGAAGGGGAGGAGGAGGCAGGAGCAAGTGGATCTCTGTGAGTTTGAGGCCAGGCTACATAGTGAGATGCTGATTCAAAACTAAATAAATAAATAAATAAATAAATAAATAAATAAATAAAATCTCATGCCCTGGGGGGATCCAATCAGCTGATGGACCCAGGCAGTCCACCCAGTTGAAGACATAGGGAACCCCATGATCCAAACCGGAACCAGCTTGTTCCTAAGAGACTTTTCATCTGTACTCTTTCCTTTAGGCTTGCACATCCATGACTACTTATACTTCCAAGTGCTGAGTCCTGGGGACATTCGATACATCTTCACAGCCACGCCTGCCAAGGACTTTGGTGGTATATTTGTAAGTTCAAAGATGCTCACATCTCTGACCCTCAGTGGCCTTCTTGCCATCTCTGAGCCATGGTGACCTCATCCCATTTTTATGCTAGGACAGGGCAGAAAGCAGAATCCAGCCATGCCTTCCAGAAGCTGCTGCATACTGTAAACCAGGGAGGGACTGCCCTCATTGGTGGAAACTACCTGAAAAGCCAAGGGCACCAGCTTTCTCTGTCTGTCCCTGGCCTATAACCAGCTCCCCTCTCACAGAAAGGCAGGATGAGGCTGAGTACTTCAATGGACTTTGGGGAATGAAAGTGCTGCAGTGCTCAGCCACAGGGAAAGCACTCCATTTCCTTCCTTCCCTGGTTACGAGGCACCAGGAAGAGGGAATTGTTAGCTCATTCCAAAGCCATGTTTTCTTACATTCTTACTTGTCCAAATGTCTAAATGTTTTTCAGCACACGAGGTATGAGCAGATTCACCTTGTTCCTGCTGAACCTCCGGAGGCCTGTGGGGAACTCAGTAACGGCTTCTTCATCCAGGACCAGATCGCTCTGGTGGAAAGGGGGTAAGGAGTAGCAGCTCATGGTACTTTGAAATGTTGCTTTTTAAATAATTCATCCTTTACAGGTCTTTAAGAAATGTATTTACTTTCTGCTATGTACTGATGACCCTCAATACAAGTTCTCTATGGTCCAGGGAGGGGCAGTTAGCACCTGCCTTTCTTTTGGTCTCATCACCACCTCTTCCAGGGGCTGCTCCTTCCTCTCCAAGACCAGGGTGGTACAGGAGCATGGTGGGCGGGCTGTGATCATCTCGGACAATGCAGTTGACAATGACAGTTTCTACGTGGAGATGATCCAGGATAGTACTCAACGCACAGCTGACATTCCTGCCCTCTTCCTGCTCGGCCGAGATGGGTGAGGGCTCTTTGCTTCTGGCTGTCCACACTAAACTGGGTGGCATGACCTGGTGGGATCAAAGGCTATCACCAGTCCCCGCTCACAGGCCCTGTCTTGAATATCCCAGTCAGAGGGCAAAAAAGTTCCCAGGTTCTGAAACTCCCAGAGTAACTGGGGCAGAGGGCAATGTTGGGGTGCTGAGAAAGTGACTGCTCTTCATGCCCTCCCAGCTACATGATCCGACGCTCTCTGGAACAGCATGGGCTACCATGGGCCATCATCTCTATCCCAGTCAATGTCACCAGTATCCCTACCTTTGAGCTGCTGCAACCTCCCTGGACTTTCTGGTAGAAAAGCTGACCCCAAGTTCCAGCTACAGGTGATTCACTGGCAAGAGGAAACCTAATATTCTGCCATTTGGAGTTTGGAGAGAGACTCTGAGGACAAGTGGAGCCAGGGAGGGGACAGGGAAGCCACACCACTGGCTTTCCCTTCCTTAGGGCCTATAAGGACATCTCATGCTCCAATAAGAGACAAGAACCAGACCCAAGGCTTCTGGCTACAATCGGAACAAAAGGTGCTGAAGGCAGGCGGCCTGGTCATCTGCAGTTTGTCACACACGACCAGTTTTAGCCTCCCACAGCAAGGACTTCCTCACAGTAACCCTTGTAGCTGTTGCTGGAGTGGCTTAAAGAACTGGTATTCTAAGGATCCCCCTACTTTTTAGCAATAAAGCTAAATAAAGCTCATCAGGTTTGTACCTGTATCCTAAGCTAAAAATGCTTGGGTGTGGGGGAGGAGGGGGACTTGTGACATCATACTGCTGCTTTTAGGGGAGCCTCACAGAAGGCCATGGCTTCTCAAGCCCATTAGGATTAGTACAGACTGCTAGTTGTGGTCCAACCCTCTGGGAAGACTGTTGTACCTAGAGTTAGCAATTGAAACCCAACCTCAGAAACCCTCATTCTGGCTTTAGTGATGTTTACAAACCAGAGTGGCTGAGAGTATAAGCACTACTGAGAAACCTGGAGCATTCCACTGCCACCCACTGGTCTAACTTGTGCCCTTTGCACCCACCTTCTTGACTACAGCAGGCTCAGAGTGGTCCACCCAGCCCATTCTCCACAAAGCATTGCTGCAGGGGCCTATCACCACTCACATTTTATTGAGACCAGAGGGAGAGAGGGGTGCTGGATGTTGTGAAGGAGTGTGTCCAACAGGTGAGGGGGCCAGTCAGGCACGTTCTACCTGTTCCACCTTGGAATGAGCCTGTAGCATAGGCACGGGTCCTCCCTGGGAGCCCCTTGCTGGGCCATGTGCAGGCCTCTCAGGGAAAGAATGGGAGCGGTAGCTGTCATCTCCAAGATGCCCACCCCAAGAATGAGATGGTCATCTGTGGCGAGGAGGGAACAAAGTCATGGCTCATCTCCAAGCATCTGCCCAGCTCCTTCAGGTTTCTGGAAGACTTCAGTGTTCCTCTATAGACATCCTAAAGGCGGTTGTCTGAGTCAGGTCCTTTGCTGGGCCATTTCAGCTGGTCCCAGGGAAGATTGGAGCATCCTAAAGTAAGGAGCATATCTGCCATACTGCTAGAGTCCTGATGAAGACAGGCCTCTTCCACACCTTATAGGGCTAGCCACCTTGCCTGAGACTAAGAGGCAAGGCACAGCAATCTGGAGTCTGGAGAACAGGTTAATCTCTACCTCCCCAGTGTCCAATGGGAACAACCCAACACGCCTGGCACAGAGTATTTTGAAGTGTTCTGAAGGCCTAGACCTTTGTTCTTGCCTCTTGCTGGCAAGTGGCAGGCCATTACTTCAGTTGCAGCTGTGGTAGGAAGAGGTAAGGCATCACATCACCTCTTTCTGTCAAGGAAACCAGTCTGTGTTCAGATTGGCCATTTTGTTGTTCCCCTCAAATTAACACCCAGTCAAGAGGGGCCAAGCCTCAGGTGGATAGGTGAGTATGGGCCAAGGGACCCAGAGGAAGAACACTATGAGGCCTGGAGCCTGTTCCAGTCTCACGGCTACAGTGGAGCGTGGCAAGGGAATATCAGTTCTAGAAGGCTTGGTGATAGCACAGGGCCGATGCAGCTCAGCAGCAGTGCTCAGGGCATGAGGTCTGGTTGGGGGGAGGGGGGATGCTCAGGTCCAGCTTCTCTCCTCAGCTCTGACAGAATGCCAGAAGGGAGAAAGCAGGCAATGGGTGCAAGGATGAGGGGGATGTTCCTTCCAGCCACATTTGTGGAGGAGGGACCCCCTTTTCCAGCAGTGTGTCTGGGCAGGGCCCCTTCCAGGCAGGGTTACGTCACACGTCAGTCATCTCATCCCCTAGCTCTGCATCTTCTGGCTCTCCTTCCTCTTCATCTTCCTCTTCCTCCTCTTCTGAGGTCACATTGGGGTCATCAGCCTCTGCCAGGCATTTGGGACAGGAACAGATGAACAAGTAGTTCTCCCTTCAAAGTAAAGGGGTGACAAGTCAGGCAGCTGCTAGGAAGGAAGAGCCCAGAGCCCAACTATGTCCCCAGCTGGCACCTGAGGATCTTGTGGCGGCTGTGGCGGCTGCGCTCCCGCTGACAGCAGTCTAAGTAGCTGATACAGATTTCCTGTGGGGTAGAGGAAGGTATGATTGCCTATGCCCTCCATCAGACAGGAAAAGAGCTTCCCCAATAACTGCCTTATCTATTGTCAACCACTGTTCCTTGCCCAGAAGCTAGGTCTTCAATGTCCTTCAACACTAATCCATTCCCATGGCTCCAGCAGGCAAGACCCCCACCTGGATAAGGATAAGAGATAGATAAGGATGGAGATTGGCCTCAGACCCTGAGGAAAACCAGCCAGTAGCCAAGTTCTATAGATGGGATCAAGAGGTTAATCTTAGCATGGTAACTTGTATAGGAGAAAGTTTCTTCAGGCTGTGGCCACCAACCAGGACCCTCAATCTATACTAACTCCTGTGGCTCAAGCCACAAACAAATCACCTGGGCACATAGCTCTACTTCAATCTGAGACTTTTCTGAAGACTTTCTTGAAGAAGTGGGAGATATTGGAGCATACTCATGGGCAAAAAGACTCAAGCTCTGCTGCCTAACAAAGGACTCCAGCTAGTTACTGCTGCTCCCTGGAGAGAAGCTGCAAGGCCCTATACCCACCCCTGCTGCCCAGCCCTCTCACCTCGCCTGGCTTAATATCTTCCAAGGCGGTAACATGCAAAAGGAAGTTGTTTTCTGGGAAGGAGGTCTCTGCATTGGGGACACAACTGTGGTTGCCTGGGTCACAAAAGACAGATAACAAGTGAAGTATGCGTATGTAGAACCCAAGACATTACACATACGAGGCAAGCATTCCCCCGACTGGTCTACACCCTCAGCCCTTAGTTTTGAATCAGGGTCAGACTACCCTTGACTTATATGTCCTTGCCTCTGACTCACAGATACATCCCTATGCCCAGCAATTAAAATCAGTTTTGTTTTTTTTAAATGGTAGTTCTAGCTGGGTGGTAGTGGCACATACCTTTAATCTCAGCACTTGGGGGGCAGAGGCAGGTGGCTCTCTGAGTTTGAGGCCAGCCTGATCTACAGAGCCAGTTCCAGGACAGCCAGGGCTACACAGAGAAACACAGTTGGGGGTGGGGGCAGACAAACATCAAACAAAAACCCAACAGAAATGTAATTCTAGGGATGGGTAGATGACTCAGCAAGTAAAGGTGCTTGCTTCAAGCCTGACAACCTGAGTGTGATCCCTAGGACCCACTTATTAGAAAGACAGAACTGACTCTGACCTCCATATGTATACCACAGCCTGTGTGTGTAAATAAAAGTTCAAACAAAACAAAGCAGTGTGTGGTGGCACTCGCCTTTAATCACAGTACTTGGGGAGCAGTGGAACAAATGAATATAAAAATTTCTCCATGAGCCAGATAGGATTTGCTGTAAGTTTGAGGCCCAACTGGACTACAGAATAAGTTCCAGTCTAATCAGGGCTCAAGAGACACAAAACAAAGCTGGACATGCTATGCCTATAATCTCAGCACTTAGGAGGTGGAGCCAGGGGGATCAAGAGTTCAAAATCATTCTTGGCTACATAGCAAGTTCAAGGTCAACCTGGGCTCAAAACTCTTTAAAAAAAAAAAAAAAAAAAAAAAAAGCCTTACTGCTACAGAGGCCTAGGTCACTTCATGGTTAACACTGCAGGGAAGAGCAGGTGTGAGACCCCATTTCCTGTCTTGGTACCTGATACAATGTGTCTTATACCATTGCCAGCTCCACCCCCACCCTCACTCCACAAAACTGACCATGTTCTCAGATACTTGCCATTGTCTCACCAAGGGAGGCATGGGGCTCTGAGGGCATCTGCAATAGACCATTTATTTCTGTCTGCTGATTTGGAACCCCTGACCACCCAGCCTGGGAGGAGAGGTTATTTAGTAGTGAGAAAAGCAGGAGGAGGGGAAACTGGAATCTGGAAAAGGTCTGTGTACGAGGTGGCCTTGACCTTCCCAGAAAGTGCTAAGGAGACTTTCCCAGCCTGAGACCCCCCCCCCCCCCAAGATCCTGCAGGCCTCAGGCTCCCCCAGTGCTTCCTGACCACATCCCATAGGGCAGTGGTGGTACAATGCCCATGCCTCCCTTTGCCAAGAAGAAACAGGGCTTTGTGCCTCCCCCTTAGGTGGAGGCTAAAGATATTTACCCACTGTAAATATCTGCTAAAACACAAGAAGGCTGGGGGGGAAGCCTCGGGTTTGGCTTCCAGTTAACACCGCAAACAAACAAAAACAATGAATGGATGAAGGAAGAAAGGGGGGAAGGAGGAGTGAATGAATAAAACTGATAGAGCAATAATTTCTAAGAGAATTTCCAAAGAAACACAGACCTAACCCCACTTCTAGACTTGACCTGGTCAGGCCACAAAGGGCAAACTGGGAAAGATGACCGGGTAAAGGCAGAAATATGTGGGCCCATTCCTCCCAGTGCGGAGACTCACAGCAGCTTTGAAGCACAAAGAGGCCAGACCCTTCACAGTTAAGGAACTCGCCGGTTGCTGTAAGAAAGTAATGTGAAGATGCCAGTGGGAAAAGGAAACTAAACTCACAAGAACAGACACCAGCTCAGCTGTCCTGCCACCCCTACAAATTAGACTCCCAGGTCTAGTTTACTTAAAATTGCTTCTCTGAGACAAGCTTTGCTCTTCTGTCTGCACCACTACCTATCTATCTGGCGCTCTCCCTCCTCCCACCAAGTGGTCTCAGGACCATTCTCTCTCTCTCTCTCTCTCTCTCTCTCTCTCTCTCTCTCTCTGATTTATTTTATGTCCAAAGCTACACAGAGAAACCCTGTCTCGGAAAAACCAAAAAAATTTATTTTATGTGCTCTATTTGCACAAATCCATCAGATTCCAATAGCAATGGTTGTGAGCCACCATGTGGTGGCTGGGAATTGAACTCAGGACCTCTGGAAGAGCAGTCATCAGTGCTCTCAACCACTGAGCCATCTCTCCATGGTCTTTCTCAAGACCATGCTCACCTGCATGTCCTGTGGCTAGATCTGAAGCTTCCCATGGGCACATAGGGATTCTCGCCTCCTACCCTAAGTTTAGCACTCCCTGGCAAGAACTGGGTCCGCTATCTGACTCGGGAAGCTCCAAAGATGGGGGAAGCCACAGCCCTCTCACCAACCTGCCTCAATGTCCTTGTACAACTGGTCAATGAAGGTGTCCAGCTGTTCCCGGTCCTGAGGCTTCAGCTCCAGCGCATCACAGGCATGTACCC